GACTTTGCTTTCACAGTTCTCAAACTTCGTATTAGGGGAAAAAAGAGAAGGGTATTTTTTAATTAGCTTCAGTAAGCATTGAGAGAGACTTGCCAATATTAGAAGGAAGTATAAGTGAAAGATAGAATAATACTCATTAGAAACTTGTCGATTTTAAACATTTCTTAGTATTTATGATCAGATACTGTAAATGTGTATTGACAAATTAACAACCATACAGCCAACAGCTGTAATGCAATAAACACACTTCAAAGGGATTTATGTGAGGGTATGTATGTATTTAAATAAATACTGTATATACATTTGCCTGGCTTTTGCTGGAAGCAGTGCTGTTGTTTGAGCCTAGCTCTATGCCACCTTCATCTTGAGGAGTTCTGGTGATTATCCCTATGCTGGTAGATTGTTCCTGAGCAGGTAGTTACATGAAAATAATCCTGATAATGGTGTATTAAAAGTCTTACAGTAGATGATCAAAACTAAACCAATTTAAGACTGGAAGTTAGTACATTTTTTTTTTTCCCCTCCTATTTGCAGTTGCATCAGTCACTTGTAAAACATCTTTGTGAGAGTTGTTTAAGTGGACTAGTTGTGAGGAAGAATATTGTATATTTCTAGCTGTTTCTCATACTCATTACAAACAAAAAGGAAACCTGCCATCTGTTAGGACAGGCCTCCATAGAGCTCTGCTTGTTGATGCCCTGCAGTTGCGGGACTTAATTATACTACATGGAATGAGTTAAGGCCAGCTTGGAAGTAGTAATAAAGTAGTAATAAATGGAATTTGTAACTTAATTGTGAAGTTGCAGGATAATGTGAGGGAACTCTGTGCTAGAAATTCTTCTTCTGAATTATATCCATCCAACATGGGAAATTAATTTTAAAAGGAGAAAAAAAAAAAACAACCCAGCCCCTGAACCTGTGTTTCAAAGAAGCAATCTTCCCTCTCCCTTCAAAAAAACTGTGCCACCTGAATCATAGTCTGACAAAGGCATTTCTGATGGACTAAGGTGGTGGTTCAGTTTCTTTAACATCTGTGTTTTTTAGCATAGCAAATTTCTTTCAGTTCCTAGCTTCTCTTGGTTTCCTAGCCAGGCAAGCATGAGGAGTCTGTCCCTCTTGCTGCAGAATACAAGTAAGATCTTGTTTTAGAAATGCTGTCACAATATCAACAAAATGGTACTGTAACTTTTAATCTGGTATGAGCACAAATAGCTTTCCTAGGACCTTTCCTGATGTTAAACTGTTTTTTGCATCCACAAGCTACGAACTTAGTGTTGTCAAAGCATAGCGTTTCAAGTTAGGCAATATGTCAGTGTCCTTGAACGGACCCGAAGCTGTGACTTCAAAAGAAAACTCAGCCAAAAGCTGAGAATTTAAAGGCATGAAGATCCTATGCGGTTGGCTCGGAGATTGCTTTCACAAACTTAAGGGAGCCTGGATTTCCAAAGGGCTAAATTAGATGATTCTTTGGTAGGGCAGCAGTTCATACTGTGAATGTGAAGCCTCCTGCTCTTCTGAAACCCTGACTCAGACTACAGTGGAATTGGAGTTCTCTGCTTTGCTTCTACATCTCTCATCGTTGCTTCATCTGAAGGGTGGGAGGAAGTCTGAAATTTTCTATCTCCCATCCTCTGTCCTGTAACTTTGTTCCACGTTGAAGTGTGATGAAATTTCTAACTTCATGAAATTCATCTTCTTTGCATTTATATGCCTCTAGTGTAAAAATCTGTATGCAAGCTATGTACTCTAGTTTTTTTGTTGTGCCAAAGAATGGAGACAGTCCCTTATAGAGGTATATTCTGGGATGAGATGAAGTGCATCTGGTGTTAGACATGTCTGAGCAAGTTAGCTGAGGTACATCCCACCCTCTGTGCCCAGCACAAAGAACAGCAAGCAATATTCCTCTCTATCCAACTGAAGCAGCATGGAGGTTAGAGGTAGGCAAACAAGATTTTCTTGTCTTTGGCATGACTTGTTCCTTTACTAAAAGTAAAATACAGAATGTGCAAAATCATTTGAAGAGTGTTTAGGTGAGGGGACCTGGAGAGTAAAAAGATGTGCTTTTAATAACGTAAGGCAGTTTTAGTAGACTATTTCCCCTTGGTATTTGCTAGTGCTTCAGCTCAGTGAGCATGGATGGGGGCAAGGAGGCTCTTGGACCAGAGGAGAAAGAGCTTTGTACTGAACTACTTCTTTTCCTGGAACAGTTTGAAGCTACAATGCTAAAGGTCAAAAGTATTATGGGAACTGAAATTGATACCACCAGTAAAAGACACATTACATTTTTAGTAGATTCTTCTAAAAATCCGTAACCATTAACAGATAGGGAAACGTCTCCAATCTGTTCTGCGAAGTCGGGTATTTCCTATAACTTCGTGTGGTAAATTGATTGGGTGTTATTCTGTTGAACTCCTAAGCTTGAGGTGTGGTCAGGTTGGTCAGATGTTTGAGTCTTAACAAATAGTAGTTTCCAGCTTAACTGCATAGGAGGCACATTAGGCTTGTGCGTGACAGCTGGTTGTCGTGAATTGATGGCTATCACAATCTGTTGGAGACAGTATCAGAATAGTATCTAAGTACATAGGGGATCCTACTCTGGTCTTATTTAAGGCACTAATCCTCATTGATACCTACTAGGACTGAGGAAAGGTTGGGTTTTGGTTGTGGCTGGTGGTTGTTTTTTTTTTTTTTTAAGCAGGCCCTAATTGTTTTTTTTCTTAGTTTCCTAAAACTTTTAGTGTTGGGATAGGTAGGTTTGCAGAACTCAATTTATTACTGCTAACGTGTCTGAAGACAAGGTATTTTATGCTATTCTGTATTCAGATCTGTGTACTGTAGATGTTAGTGTTAGAGAATCATGTCTTCTGTTTTCTGCAGCCTAACTCCTTTTGAATTGGAAAGTGTTCCTTTCTCTTTCTTACCAATCACACAGAAATTTGATCTGGTAGGGGGTTTTATTTTTACAATTTACAGCTTAGAACACTTTCCTGAAATCACAAACTAATAAAACTTTTTCCCATAGAATTCATTTGCTTAAACAGTTTTCTTGCAGTTCATGTATTTACTGAACTATATGTATTTAAACTGCTGAAAACTGCAAGGCAAAGCTCATAAATCTTGCCATCTGTGAAATCTTTCTTTTTTTATATATTAATAAATCTTGCGTATCTGTTTCACTGCAATATGTTAAGCTAAAATCTTTGGTATTTCATATGTTGCATTTAAGTGGTTATTTTACTGCATACTTGAGTGTGTTTCTAATTTGTTTTTTGATTTTGCTAAATTTGTTAGAATTTTGCTTATTGAAGCGATAAACACAAGGATTTTTTGGTGGGTTGGTGATTTTGTTGGGTTTTGTTGTTTGTTTTTTAGGCTTAATGTGACATATAAACGATTCCTTAATATTTTATAGTGACTTTCTTTTCTTTCATCCTACAGCTACAAGCTTTGGCATAGCTTTGCCAGCTTGGATTGTGGATCAGAAAAATTCCATTTTGGTGAGTCAAGTTACTTGCTCAAGACTTTAAGGTGAACTTTCAAGAGTTCACCTTGAAATTTTTGTGCTTAATACTGCATGTTTTAGTCAAAACATGTAGTTAATAATACTTTGGTCCAAATGCACATCTTTGAAGCAAATTTCAGGAGTCAGAAGGGTTAGAGTAGCTTAAATCTAACCTTTGAGAGTAAAGTATTAATATTCTTGGAAGGATCTCATTGCAGTGATAACGAGGTTGTATTGTGGTCACCCCTGCTATGAAGTGTGTGTTTGCTGTTGCAAGGAAACACTGCTACATTTCTGTAGTTCCATTTGGTTTGCTAGTGATGCTGTAGTCATAGAGTGTCTAAATGTTCTTTCTGTTGCATTTGTTACTGCAAGGTATCTGGCTTACCTGCTGGATTTCTTTTAATGGGATAATCGTCTCTGTCCACTGCATCACATTTTAGCTGCCAACTCTTTAATTATTAAAGAAACCCACCTGAGACAATGTGTGGGTGATTTAAAAGATTACTTACACTAAACTGATACTCCGTATTTAAACCCTACCCAACTGATTATATTGCTTTGTAAGTTGTTCTTCAGAAATAATGGCAGGTATTATGCAATAAGCTTATATTAATTTGTAGTAGGCTTGTGGTAATGCTACTTGACTGTATTTTAGAATAAGGATTAAATGAGTGGTGTTAAGTAATTGAAGTATCTAATGCAGTATGTTTCCTAATTTTCTCTAGGTTTTGCTTGTATATGGATTAGCATTTATGGTTATTCTTCCAGTTGTTGTGGTAAGTATTATCTAATTAATATTCTACTCTTGTAACCAAGCTGTAAACAAAGCTGTCTTAGACATAAATAGAGTTGCTCATTCTTGCCTTTCATGGAGTGAGTGAGCAAGTGAGGGTGGTTGTTTTTTTTTTTTTTAAATGTGGGTGGGTTTTTTTATTATGGAAAAAGTGTAGCTGCTGTAGATTTTCCAGAAACAATGCAGTGCTGTAATAGAGAGAAGAAAATGTTAGACATCACAGGAGTTAGACTGGATTATGTAATTTGTCTTGTACCTTCTGTCATTCATCACATGAAAATTAATATGATGTGATGAACTCCAGAGTATATTCAGTAGTGGTACTGTAGAGCCAAGACTGAGATGTCAGTAGCTGGTGGTACTGGAATGATTACTGCATGTGGAATAGGTTGTTGATTTGGTTTCTCCTGGCTGCCTTTGTTTTCATAACTTCAATTTTTATTGATCTTCTGTATACCATGAGATGTCTGCCCTTGAGATTTCTTTGTGTGAGGAATCAATTGCTAGGTGAGTGGTATTTCAGGGCTCAGGTTTACCCTACAGTATTGCTTTTGAACAATGTCCCTTACACACTGATTGTGCATTTGGGGTATGGTGTGAAGAAAGATTCAGAAAACTGACACCCAGAAACCTTCATGCTCTTGGGAACGACATTTTTCATTTAAGAAAGTGTCCTGTGGTCTTGGCAACTGCTTGCATCTCTGTGCAGAGGTTTAGCCAGGCATTATCCCTTCTCTTTGAGAATCTTGCTGCATAATTGAAGATTTAGCGTAGAAAATTGTGGTGATTTCAACAAGTTGTTGAATAAGAAATGTAAAATTCAGGGTACAATGTCTACATATTTTTCCCATCTTTCCTTTTAGGTTTCAGTTGGTGTCTGTTGATACTTTTTTGTATACATGTACTTTTAGTGATTTATACCAGATTTATCGTAGCTCAAGTGAAAGTAAACATCCTTTCTCTTGTTACAAAGAAATGTCCTGAGCAGAGAAAAAAATCATCTGGCTCTTCTTACCCTTATACCAGATGTAGACCTCTGCATTCAGACTTGTCACTGTAAATTTCTTTTATAGTCAGTGAAGAGGAATAGTCATTTTTATGGAGCAAGTCATTTTATCATTTAATTCTAAAGTAGACATACAAGATGATTCATGCCTTTAATGGGCCTGTTTCTCTTTTATGAATCAATGAAGAAGCTGAAGTTAACTACAGTGTAGTCATCCTGTATCTGAGATAGACATCTAAAATAAAGTAAGGCTAGTTCCACCCTTTGAATCCAGATCAACAAAAAAGGACAGTACTGATACGTAGTTCTTCCTAGACCTCCACTGTCCTAAATAATATTCATGAAGCAAGAGAGAGAAGCTGTATCTGCAAAAGCAGTTAGGGCAGCCCCTTTCATGTAGATTTGGGCTGGCTGTAGTTATACTTTTTCTTCCAGTACCTATACATAGACAAAAATTTGATAGCTATGGGATTATAATCTAAATTTTTCTGCAGAAAAACTTTAAAAAAAAAAAGTTGTTTACAGTCTTGTGTCAAGGTTCATCTATTCATGGAAGAATCAAACCTAATTTATTAAAAAAAGAAATGTTTGTGGGAAGCCAGTCCTAGAGCATTTCCCAAATAATTCAGTAAATTGCAGAGTTCTTGCTGTGTAGTGGGGGAATTTACACTATTGCCTATTAAATTAATAGTAGTAAGCATCACTTACTACTTTACTGCTTGTTACTTTTCCACTTGTGATAAACTTTACGATAGATTGAGATTTATCTTGGATGTTTTTTCTCATGTTAGTGAGCTTTCCTTACAAGGAGGAGTTTAGTGAACAGACTACAGTTTATAAGCTAACACTCCTTTTTTCTTAAAATATATTATAGAATACAGTCACTGTACAGTGAGTTCCGTAATTTGAAGTCACTGGTGTAATGCTAATGACGGAATTATTGGATTGTTTCTGAAGGTTTGGAAAACTTTTTCTGTCAACCTGAAGGCGTATGACTTAATTCTGAAAATTTGCAGCAGGGGCACAGGGCCACCTCCAGGTTCCCCTTCTGAAAAGTGTTTTCTGATTAGGTGACTTAAATTATTTTTTTCAGATTTTCTTATAATGAAAGAAATATCTTGTTTTTTCTTCGTTTGGCCTTGGTCTGCCTAAACTGAATTTGATTTGAATGCTGTGTTGCACTGTAAGGACTTACCACGTATATAGAAAGTGGTAAATCCAGTGGATTTACTGTTTAGTGGATTTGCTAAAACAACACCAAAAATAAACAAAGCAGTGTATATGGGGGTGTGTGTGCGCATCGTGTTGGGGGGAATTCTCTAGGCTAGAGATCATCTAAAAACTTTTAGCATCAAATTCTCTCAGATGAGTATATTGTGTGCTTTTAAAATTTGTGCCCCCAAGTATTTTTTGTTTCCTTCAGCTTTTTGAAATTCAGCTGACCTTAACATAGGTAAAAGCAGCTGGGCTAAGTTACCTGGTTGTGAACAGACACGAGGTGATCCAACATGGTTGTTTCGATGCTTCATCATAGCTGATGTCAGTTTGTTCTTGTTAAATGTCTCAGGGTTCGTGGTGGTACCGATCAATACGATACAGTGGAGATCAGATTCTCATTCGGACAACTCAAATATATACCTATTTTGTCTATAAAACACGGAACATGGACATGAAACGTAAGTAAAAGGCATCTTGAAATGCTGATGTTAAAGTGCTTCTGCTTTATAAGACTTTGTTAGGTTAAAATTAGGTTTCTGGTTCTTTTAGAGTGTTTTTAAAAACTTCATTTTGTTGCAGGTGAAGAGTACTCTGTAAGCAAAGACTTAAGTATTTGGGAGAGGGAGTTATGTAGATCTAGATTTATGTCTGTCTATATGTTTTTAAAAAAAAAATAAATTGTAGTTGGAGAAAAACATGCAGACCTTCCTGTAGTCCCAAGGTACTATGTGGCCACTGGAAGTGCAACCTCTATCTGTGTGTTTTCTTCTGTTAGTGTAGCAAAATAGGCTTTGGGAATTTTCTAGGGCCTATCATAAAATTTTTATGTCCCCAAAGAATGAAATAGCTTTTCTGGTTCTCTATTCTTACTTGTTATGTTATAGCTAAATTTCTGTTTAAAAATTTTGCTCTGTATCAATTTCATGTTACTTTGTCACCTGTTTGTAGTTTTTGATATACTTATTTTTCTTGTTTGCTCACTTTTAAAGGCATAAAAAAACTTTTTCTGGGGGAATCTGTAGATGCATTGTGTTGGTGCAGAATTGGATCTTCCAGTTTGGAAGCTAGCACGGACCTGAAGAATTAGTATGGTATTAGTTAGTTCTAGATTGGTTTTTACTAGATTGCATGCTCAGAGCAATTGAAAAGCAGAATAAAAAAGTCCCCCAAACGCTCTAAAAGAGGTTAATAAATATATTCTCTTATTCCTTTGAATTGCACTGTTGTTGAGCTTTAGATTTGCTGGAAGGTTGCTGGAATCCACTCTTCATACATCCTTTTCCTACTGAACAGAAAATCTTCGCAGCTAACCCAAAAGGTCTAGGACATAAGAGTATGGAAGTACGTTAGCTTTCTAGTCACAGCACACATGGATTTGTGTGTGGGATTAATTCAGACCAGTTTATGCCCTCCACCTTGTCGTATTCTTTTGCTCTTTCCCCTCTCCAAACGTCTAGGTGAGAAAGGAGGAATGAGAGAGTAGGTGAGACGACTTTAGAAGTTTAGGGAGATCACTGCAACCCTGGTCTTTCTCCAAACTTCTTGTCAACAGTAGATTATTTCATGTTGAACTTTGCTCAGCGTAATAACTTTGAGGATTGCCTTGTCTCTCCTACAGATTGGTTAAAAAGTTAACCCTAAGTTTAAATGACCTTATTTAAGGACATAACACTTTCAGGGAGTCCTGAGGTCAGAGGCAGGTCATTTTTTTTTTCCACTGAGATCTGTTGGGCAGTCTGAAAGAAAAATGAGGTGTGGCTGAGGTGGCTTAGATAAACCACACAGCTATCAGGTAAGGCTTTTGCTTGGTTGTGAATTCCACAGTGGTGAGAGGTACCAGTCCCAAAACTCAAGGCTTAAGCCAGGGCATATGTAGTCAAACCAGGCTAGGGAAATGGTGAGACAAATCTGCATGACTTGCCCTGTTTTAGGTACTCTTTTTTTTTTAGACTTCAGAATAAAAAGTTTTTAAACTTCCTTTCCTGAAGATCCACAGTTGTTGCTCTTAAATAATAGAAAAGTATTTATAATTGTCTGAAACTCTTTGGTATGCCCTGCTCGGGAAGTAAATAGATAATCGAGAATGGAAATGAAAATTGATGCTCAGGGAACTTGACTAGTTGTTAGCAGTTGGAATTCACTGAGCACTGCAAGTAGGCAAAAATAACTTTGACTTGCTTAAAGAGAACTTGCTCAAAATTTATAAAGAAACTTGAGTAACTATTGCTGGAAAAGTTATTTTAACTGGAGCAAATGATGAGGTGAGCTCTCTCATTATCTATGGCTGAGGAGTCTGAAATGTTCATGAGCAGAAAGCTCATAATGGGGCTAAAATATCCCATTGTGTAGATCTTTCATCTTAATTACACAGCAGAATGTTTTGAGGTATATGGATTTTCCTAATTGCATTAGGAAAAGAGTAGTCCATCATCTTCACAGGATTTGTTTGCAGGAGTATTTATTGAACTGCTTTTGTAATAGTTAAAATAAATTTTGGGGGGTGGATTTTCAATGCTGACTGATGAGAAAATTGAGTTGAAATTTTCTTTCCCGCCTTCCCCTCCAGCATACACACTGTGGTGCTGCTGCAGGCACGTGACTTGCTGAGAGGAATGGTTCTGTGAGCATGCAGTAGTCGTCAAACTGCTGTGCAGTGATGTCTGCCAGTCCTAAAGAAGGCTAACTATATTTTTTGTGAAGACATTTAGAGTCAAATGCTGGACTTGATGCCATGTAAAATGGAGCCTTGAGCGATCTCTTTTGTCTTGTGCCAGGCATTGGTTCTTGTCTCCTTTGCCCTGTGGCAGCAGTAACTGATCCACTAAATAGGATCATAGAATCGTATGGGCTGGAAGGGACCTTTAGAGGTCATCTAGTCCAACCTCCCTGCGGTGAGCAGGGACATCTCCAACTAGATAAGGTTGCTCAGAGCCCCATCCAGCCTGACCTTGAATGCCTCCAGGGATGGGGCTTCCACCACTTCTCTGGGCAACCTGTTCCAGTGCTTCACCACCCTCATTGTAACAACTTTTTTCCTTATGTGTAGTCTAAATCTACCCTCTTTTAGTTTAAAACCATTACCCCTTGTCCTGTCACAGCAGACCCTGCTAAAAAGTCTGTCCCCATCTCTCATATAGGCCCCCTTCGGGTACTGGAAGGCCGCAGTGAGGTCACCCCGAAGCCTTCTCTTCTCCAGGCTGAACAACCCCAACTCTCTCAGCCTGTCTTCATAGGAGAGGTGCTCCAGCCCTTGGAGCATTTTTGTTGCCCTCCTCTGGACCTTCTCCAACAGGTCCATGTCTCTCCTGTGTTGAGGGCTCCAGAACTGGATGCAGTACTCCAGGTGGGGTCTCACCAGAGCAGAGTAGAGGGGCAAAATCCCCTCCCTCGACCTGCTGGCCACACTTCTCTTGATGCAGCCCAGCATGCAGTTGGCCTTCTGAGCTGCAAGTGCACATTGCTGACTCATGTCCAGCCTTTCATGAGCCTTTCAAATAGGGAACATGGATATTCATGGTGGTTGTGGGAAGTGTGGGAATAAGTTTTATGGCTGAGGGTTCTGAAGAAATCACTTACCGGCATAGGATGTTGCTGACATTTTCTCTGTCTACATTCAATTATCTTTGCAGGGCTTATCATGGTGTTAGCAGGGGCATCCGAATTTGATCCCCAGTACAATAAAGATGCTACGAGCAGACCGGCAGACAACATTCAGATACCGCAGGTTAGTTGTATCAAGAGATGTTTTTTAAATAACTGACTCCTTCAAGAGGAGAAGGGAGATGGTGCTTCTAGGTGACCAGCTGACAGAATTCAAGTTCTCAAGGCATTCATTTTGTTGAGGTGCAAAACTGTATCCCTTCAGAAATAGGAATTAGAAACTGAACTTAAGTTTTTTTTAAAAAAGAAAAGATAACACTAATTGATGATAATGCCTAGCTTAAATGGAATCACTTTAATAGACTGCTGGGTTGGGTTTTGGGGGAGGGGTAAACTAAATAGAGAATTAGAGTGTTAGTCCTTATAAATTTTGAGTATTGATATAAGGAGGTGATCGCCATTTGATAACGTTCTTTTAAATCATTAACACAGATCTGGTTAAATATGTTAATACTGAAATAAATTTATTATCTGATGTCTGAATGAATGATGTCTTCAAATATTATAAAGATTCCTCCGTGAATGTCTGTTCCCCTCTGGTTGCCTTTTATTTTCATTTCCACTCTGTCTTCCCAACAGAGATGCCGTCATGCATACTGTGGCAAATGTTGCTAGCAGAGGTATAGGAAGTCTATTTATCAGAAACTAACATTTTGATTTTAAGAAGTTTAAACCACAGTATACAAAATGCTGTAATGAAAATGTTTGAAGTTTGCAAAATGAGGGGGGCTAGTCGCACAGATTTAACCTTTGCATGCACACAGTTGAATTTTCAAATCGTAAACATATTTAATGTCTTAAACATAAAGGAAATGGATATACCTCTTTCCTTAATTGCCTTTGTCTCTTTTACAAACTCTTTATCGTCTTGTGGACTTTAAGAGAAGGAGCTGGAATTGTGGTTAGGTCAGGTTTTTCAGCAGACGGAGCGCATGACTAGAAAAGATCACCTTGATCATCAGTTCTTCTCCCGTGCTGTTGCAAGCATTGGCATCGTGCAAACCCTTTACATTTAGTCATTCTTTATTTAAAAGGCAGTCAAGCCTCTTGTAACCATATCCTACTGAGAAGCTGTTCCAGAACTTGCTGTTATAGTGATTGAGTCTTGTTTGTGAGCAACTTACAGCCATGTTTTTTGTCATCATTGTTCTTGAGTCTAAATAATTCTTGCTATGGATATCTTTAATGCATTTGTAGACTGAAGCAATAGCCTATTTTTTTCTCTTTTTGTATTTATTTTGCTAAACTAGAAAAGCTGCTGTCTTTTAATCCCCTCTTTCCCACAAGCCTCTTCATTTCCCTCATACTGCTACCTGCTGTATGGAGTACTGTTCCTAGTTGATATATTTCTAAATTTTACATTATTTTTTTATTTTATCTGCTCAGAATTGTCCACAATATTCCATGTTAAGTCTTAGTAGTGCATTAGTTGGTGACACTACTATTGCTGTATTTCTGCAGGGAATAACTCAGCATACTGTTTTCCACAACTGTTTCATATGGTGGTTTAATACAACTAGTGTCGGATCGCTAAGTTGTCTGGATTTCTCTTGTCTTACAGACCTCTGTTTTCCGGCTAACAAACTCCCATCTTTGAGCTGTGGTTCTTGTTAGTATACGAATGCTTGACCTTGCATTTATACTATTGGATTTTGTTTCATTTCTAAAGGTCCAGTAATCCGTGTCATTTGTGTTCTTTTTTTCTGAGTATATGGCAGTACAAGTCTCTGAAGTATCAATACAGAAGGGTATTGCTAATAATTTTTGTTAGTGTATCCTGCTTTTGGGGTTATGATCATTGTTCCCATTTTTATTTCACTGTTCTATTGTAAACCAAGTATTCATACTTTCAATGAAGTTTTCTTATTAAAGTTTTACTCTTCTTGGTCTGGTGTTATACCAGGATGTGCTTATAAGGAACTTGTGAGAAGATCTTTTTTTTCAAGTGTAGGGAAAGGTCAGTGGAGCCTGGCAGTTGATATTCTAACTTCCCTTTGGCTGGAGATTTTGGAACCTCAGTCTCTCCTCAGGTGACTTGTTGACCTAAAAAGTGAAGCTTCTGGGCTGTGCATTGATTCTTAGAAACTATGAGCTTCTGTTACTCAGCTTTGCAGCCTTTCCCTCCAGGGTCTTCAACAAATTCAGGTGAGAGAGACCTGTTTGAACTGTGCATCTTGATCTAGTCAGGATCAAGAGAGGTCGTCCTGAATAAAGAACACCATGCCTTTTTTTCAAGTTGGTGCTGTTTATAAATAAGTTAAAATACTTGATCTTCAGCCTATCAGGGAGTTCAGGCTTATAACCTCCTTCGTGTGATACTTGAGACTATTTCTGAGGAAGTTGACTGGGTCTTAGATGGGTGAAAGGTCTCATGGTGATGCTGTTGCTAATGCTTATTGAGTTTTATATAAATACCTTAGAAATATGGTTGAATCTAGTAAACCTTGGCAATAAAATCAGATTTTAAAAATATTTGTCTGTCAATACAAATTTACTCAATGTTATTCAAGGCAAGTTTCTTTTGTGCAAATCTTTACTTCCCCCCTCACTCCCACATTGAAACAAGGCCTTTAAAGACAGTTTTTTACTTTTTGGAGCTGGGTATTCATTTTTATGAATAAAAATGGCTAATGTTGATCTCTATGGAACTTTGCAGGGAAAAGTTACTAAAAGGCTTGCTTTTGTGAATGTAACATTTTCCTTGTAAACTGTTCTCCTCCTATGTTTGTTTCTCTTTAGCACTGAAATAGCTATTTGTGTTTATTTTCTTTTAGCTAATCAGAGAAATTGGTGGCATAAATTTAAAGAAGAATGAGCCTCCGCTCACCTGCCCTTACAGCCTGAAAGCCAGAGTTCTGCTGTTGACTCATCTTGCCAGGATGAAAGTTCCTGAGGTCCTTGAAGAAGGTAATGGCTTCTCTCCTAATCAGATATTGTTGGAAACAGAGCAACATGTTGCATGCTACAGCACTCATAATTCTTGTCCATTAAAGAATTGCATGGGTCTCTGCTCAGTAATCTCTACGCAGTGTACTTAGTTTTTTAACTTTAATGACTCTTTAAAACATTTACTTAGCATTTACTCATTCTCTTGACAGCCCTGTAATACTGATATTGTACTTTTTAATGCTTTTTGGCTGCAAATGTGACTTTGATAATTTTTTTTTCTCTTTGTAATAGAATAAAAAGTTAAATGTGAAGTATAGTTGCTTTTCAGAGTGAGGAAATCCAAGATAAGCATAATATTGCTCTCTGATATTTCCATGCATGGTTATTTTTGGAGTTTTTTAGCCCACTGTGTGAAGCAAAGATGAACTTTAAATATCAGTTACCTATGAGCTTCAGTTTGTGTTTTGCAATTTTTCATACTTGTAAATATACAAACGGAAATGTTTCTAAATGCAGTTTTTAAATTTCAACCAGGAAACTCATGGTTTCTTAGGCTGACCAGCAAACTTGAGATGTTCTATAATTTAGTGCAAATTAAAAAACAAAACCAAAACCAACAAACCTGTTTAGATGTTTTTCAGATTTTCCAGTTTGTTTCAAAAGAAAAATGATCAGTTTTAAGTAGTCACTAAAAATCTCTCATCTTCGTTGCTACTTAGTTTCTATTTGTACTTACAACTTCACAGATCTGTATTCAAAAGTAGTTAATACTTTATAGATAATGTTTTTCTGAAATCCGGTGTTTCCCTTAAAATTAAAAATCCTTATTTTTAACCTGTGATTATCTAAAGAATTCATGCTATTTTAATAAGACTGGTAAATTGTCTGTGCCATCCTGTTGTTTCTTTAGATGGCTCTAGTAAGTGCTTCTTCCTTTGGTGTGGAAGCTGCTTGTCTGGTATACAAAATTTATGTTCCTTCTCAGCACTTGCTGTTATGTTAGGGAATGTTGCAGATAGATGTGTCAATGAGAATAAAGTGATATTTTCAATAATACAAGAATGAATAGAAATGAAGACTGCACTGTTAAATGTCCAGTTCATGTAAAATGTCTCCTTTTGTCCTAACAGAAGTGCAGCATAATTGCAGCCGATTATGTCTTGCAGATCAGCAGTTTATCCTGAAAAAGAGTCCTGCACTACTTCAAGAAATGATTAATGTGATCTGTCAACTAATAATAATGGCTCGAAGCCGGGAAGGTAAAAAAAGAAACTGTGTAATTACAACTAGTAAATATGATTCTTCATTGCAATACTTCATAAAGTCTTTGGTTCTTGTGGGACACTTAACCTATGTTATTTAGAAATACCTAAATACACTTCTGCTCTTTTTAATGAGAGCTCTCTCCGTTTTGAGGATTGAAATGCTGCTGCTGCTGCCAAGCTCTACTCTGAAATCTTGAGTATGTGTGTTCAGCTTTTAATTTTTGCAACTGGAAGTTTCTCCTTAAATGCGATTGAGAACCTTTTCTTAAAGATCTGGTCCATTTTCAGTAGCAAAGCACTTGGTGTAAGACAAATTAAACCTTCTGTTCATCCATCTTTTTGTTTGCACTTTTACAGTTCTTCCTCTCCTGTTATGAGTGTCACTTGTTTTTTGGGTCATTTCTTTGTTGTCATTTCTTTGTATGTTGTTCACATTTCTCCATTTCAGGATCCTATGCTGTTTAGTCCACCATGTAGTTTTTTTCTGAACTTGTAGGAGCAGGTACTTTGTGATAATTGACATAGAAATTACAGTTTAATTGAAATGTAATGTTTAAGCTTCTTTTTACTGTAAAAAAGCAATTACACTGAGGGATGGTTGCTTGTAGTGTAAAGAAACAAAGATTTGGATCTCATTCCTTTATTGCAATAAACATAGGCAAGGCTTCTTTTTTTGTGCCAAACTGGTGACCATTTTGTTTGTTGTCAAATAATATTGGTTGATCTTTACTAGACCAAAACTCCTTTAACAAGCATTGGTAGCCTCCTAACAAGAATGGTTTGGGGGAAAAATCTTTCCCAGCATTATTGCAAGTGGTGCTGGAAATTATGCTCCATAACCAAATAAAGTATGAGAGAGGGGACGTGAGCAGGTAAGGATGTTGCATGCTGCTTGCATGTCCTATTTTAGAAAGAAGTATTGATTAAGTATATTTCTAGTTCTCTTCTAGACCCTGTCTTTACTACTCTGTGAGACTGCTGGGGAGAAAACTTGAAACCTGGAAGTAAACAGTAGACATGTTTTTCATTGCAGAAGTAATCTTCAACTAACATTAGATTGTATTTATTAATGAGTGTCATATTAAGAGATAAGCTGTGGATATGTTTTTGTGAATATTCTCCAGACTAGCGCAGTAACAAAGTTGCAAAGATATGCTGTGAAACTGTATTAGTTTAATAGTTTACTAATTTATTTCATAAAAGCTAAGTAGCTATTTTGGAAGGAGGTTGGGTTCTTTTGTGTTTGGTGTTTTGGGTTTTTTGTTTGTTTGTTAAGTTTTGCTAGCTCAGCCAGACCAAGTCCACATATTATAGCTAATTATGAAAAGCACTTGAATGAAGGCATGTTTTTACTTGTTTGAGTCCTTATGTATGCCAAATGTAGGTATGTCTCTTTTTAAAAAATCTGGATAGTTTTTTCTCTTATAAAAATACTTCAAATGTCTGAAAGATGTCTTCTAAGATGGCCTGTGTATATATTAGTCAACTAGCAAATACTTGTTTTCTCTTGTGCAGAATGAAACCAAAATAATACAGCCAGAAGCATTTGTTATGCAACAGAACTGGAAATGTTTGAAAAATGAAAACACCTATAGCTCTTCTTGTAAAAGCTGAAATAGGATACTTAACAGAGTATATGGTATACTTTACAACTTGATTGACTTCTACGTAGCTGTATTCTTTTCCTCTAGTTCTGTATGTATATGGAGATACCTTTTTAATTTGACAGTAAAATGATTATTTATAGATGCAGTGTATTTAATAAACTATTTGAAGTTCCAGAAAATTTAACTTTTAGCTTAAATTGAAATAAAAAAATCACACAGTATGTTGGAAAACAGTAATGTAAACTAATTTTCTATTTGGAAGTGAAGGTTATTAAAAAAAAAAAACACAAACAAACCCTAAACAACCTCTACTACTAACAGTTTCTAGAGATTATCATGATCCCTTCCAACCTCAATGAGTCTGTGGAAGTGGATGAGAATTTATAGCTGTCATTGTGTATGGTAGAAGTTACTTCCATAGATTTGGAAAAAAGTAGAAGTCTATCATAGGTATAGTTGAGGATTTGTTTGGTATTTCTTTAGCAGGTTTTCTCAAGATTATTTCTGAAGTTTTAAAATGGCAATATTCATAAATTTGTAGCAGACATTTCCTCTCACTTCCATGCCGGTGCTCTCTGCACAAAGCATTAAAGGGAAGGTGATACCGAACAGTTGCCCGTCAGGCCAACAATAATGAATTTGAGGGCTTGAAGGTAAACCGTTTCAGAATTTTGGTCTTGGATCTAAAGGAAAATCACCATTTTTGCTACTTATTACTTAGCAAATTTAAAATGTTGACCCTATTTTTGATGATTGTACATGTGGAGAGAATTTTGTGCCCTTGCTGACTATTGTTGGGACACAACTAGAAATTGTAAAGGTGTCATTGTGTTTTGTTTGTTGTTTTTTTTTTTAAGATATAGGTAAAATTGAAGTTAAATATTGAAATTTTTGAGAGACAGTTTTGTTTAAGTTCATGTATTTGTCGGCATAATTTTAAGTAGCTTGAAACTGAACTGCAATGTTTTTGGATTAGTTTTAGTTTTCACTTCAATCAGCCTTGACATGGCACGCAGCGGCGACAGTGGTAAGGTCTGCGGCCAAGCACTAGATTGAGGCCAACAGGGGGGCCCTGGAGCCAGGGAAATCCAAGGAAGAGCAGTGAATCCTGCCGGGAACTGTCACCTCTCACAAGGAAGGCTGAGGCATCCTGGACATTGCCAGGAGCAACCGTGGGAGATTTAAACGGCCCTAAGGAGTGCAGCAAACAGGACAGGCAGACAGGGTGTGGTGCATCAGCTAGGGAGTGGCACAGCAGTTTGCGTGGCAGGGTGCGTAGGAAGGGCACTGAAGCTTTTCCACCTCAACCAGGGAGCAATGGTATCCACCCAGCAGAAAGCCATGGCCTCTCTAAGCTCTGTACCCACTGTGAGTGACACAGCATCCCAGACAGAGCTCCAGTGGCAACATGCGGCCATCCTGGTGTTGGGCTGCAGGGTGGGCCCTGCCCTTACGCCCATACCAGACAGTACCAGTGAGCCCAACTGTAGGAAGTGTGCCCAGGTAGAGGAACTTCTCTGATTAGCGACAGAGCTCCAGGAGATGGTGAGTAGGCTGAGGAGTATCAGTGAGTTCGAGAGAGAAATAGACTGCTGGAACCGCATCCTATCTTCCCTGGGACAGGCCTGATAGGCAGATAGGATGCATGATACAGAGGATTCCCTGTCCTCTGTCTGCCTGGCTGAACACAGTAACTTGGAAGATAAGGGGCAATGGCAACAAGTTCCTGTCCGGGACAGCAGGCGCATCTCCTTTGACTGCCCGACCTCCCCAGGTGCACTTGCAAAATAGGTATGAGGTTCTGCAAGTGGAACCAAACGATAACAAGGACAATCATTCATCTAGCTTGGAGTCGCCGAGGTTAAGTCAGCCTAGGCCTGGCATCAAAACCGCTTGCATTAAGAGAAAAAGATGAATGATTATTGTAGGAGACTCTCTCCTGCAGGGTTCAGAAGGGCCAGTATGCCAACCAGACCTACCTGTTAGGGAAGTGTGCCGCCTCCCTGTTGCCTGGTTGAGGATGTGAAGAGAAAGCTTCCTACGCTGGTGCAGCCCTCAGATTATTATACATTACTGATTTTTCAGGTAGGCAGCAATGAGGTTGGAACTCAAAGATAATCCAAAGATAATCGAGAGCAACTTCAAGGTCCTGGGACAACTGGTTAAGGGATCAGGAGCACAAGTAGTGTTCTCCTCTGTTCCCCCAGTTGCAGTGGATGATGAGGGCAGAAACAGGGAGAGCCAGCAGATCAAGAGTCTAGTGTCATCGGCAGGATTTGGGGTTTTTTGATCATGGGTCAGTCTATATGACACCAGATCTGCTGGCAACAGAAAGGGTACATTGATCACAAAGGGAGGAAAGCATCTTTGCACAGGAGTTAGCAGGGCTCATCGAGAGAGCTTTAAACTAGATTTGAAGGGGGAAAGGGATAAAACTAGGCTTGCCAGAGATAGGCCTGGGGGTGGCTCGTCAGTGTTTGAGGAACAGTGTACTAGTGAGGTCCTTGGGTCTGCCGCCTCAGTGGTGGCAGGGGATGGAGAGCCATGCAGCAGCAGAGGCACAAGGGTCATTGATGAGTTAGATACCATGGAAGCGCCTGAAAATGGTCACATAGCAATTAGGGCTTCTACCCTGAAAAAGGTGGCGGGATCAATAGCCCAGCTGAAGCGCATCTACACCAATGCGTGCAGCATGGGTAACAAACAAGAGGAGCTGGCAGCCATTGTGCAGCAGGAAAACTATGACATAGTTGCCATCATAGAAACGTGGTGGGATGTTTCGCGTAACGAATGCTGCAATGGATAGCTATAAAGTCTTCAGAAGGGATAGGCAAGGAAAGAGAGGTGGTGGGGTGGTCTTGTATGTTAGGAAGTGTTTTCACTGTCTAGAGCTTGATGATGGTGATGATAGGGTTGAGTGTTTATGGGTAAGAATTGGGGGAAGGTCAACAGGGCAGGTATCATGGTGGGAGTCTGCTGTAGATCACCCAACCAGCATGAAGAGGTAGATGGAATATTCTATAAGCAGCTGGGAAAAGTCTCACAATTGCTAGCCCTTGTTCTCATGGGGGACTTCACACTAGCAGATGTCTGCTGGAAATACAATGCAACAGAGAGGAAAGAGTCCAGGAGGTTCCTGGAGTGTGTGGAAGAGACCTTCCTGAGCCAGCTGGTGAGGGAGCCCACGAGGGAAGGCGCCCGCTGGATCTGGTGTTTGTGAACAGGGAAAGACTTGTGGGTGATGTGATGGCTGGAGGCTGTCTTGGGCACAGCGATCAAGAAATGATAGAGTTCTCGATCCTTGGAGAAGTCAGGAGGGGGGTCAGCAGAACTGCTGCCTTGGACTCCCGGAGGGCAGACTTTGGCCTGTTCAGGAGCCTGGTTGACAGAGTCCCTCGGGAGGCAGTGG